TTTAGTAGAGACGGGGTTTCACCATGATGACCAGGATGGTCTCGATCTCTTGACCTCGTGATCCACCCGCCTCGGCCTCCCAAAGTGCTGGGATTACAGGCATGAGCCACCGCGCCCAGCCTCAATACTAATCTTGAATGTAAACAGGCTAAATGTCCCAATTAAAAGACACAGAGTGGCAAGCTGGATCAAAAAGCAAGACACAATGGTATGCTGTCTTCAAGAGATTCATCTCACATGCTTTATTTGCACCTGTAAGCTGAAATAAAGAGAGAAAACTCTATTAAGCAAATAGAGAAAAGCAGGAGTTTCAAGCCTAATTTCTGGCAAAATGGACTTCAAACCAACAAAGACAAAAAAGACAGGGGCATTACATAATAGTAAAGGGTTCAATTTCACAAAGATCTAACTATCCTAAATATATATGCACCCAACATAGAAGCACCCAGATTCATAAAGCAATTTCTTAGAGACCTACTAAGAGATTTAGACTGCCACACAATAATAGTGGGAGATTTCAACACCCTACTGACAGTATGAGACAGATCATTGTGGCAGAAAATTCACAAAGATATTCAAGGTCTAAATTTAATACTTGACTAAATGGACCTAATAGACATCTATAAAACTCTCCATCCCGAAACAACAGAGTATTTATTCTTCTCATCACCACATGGCTCATACTCTAAAATCAACCACACAATTGGACATAAAACAATCCTCAGCAAGTTAAAAAAAATCAAAATACCCATCAACAGCAGACTGGATAAAGGAAATGTGGTACATATACACCATAGAATACTATGCAGCCATAAAAAAGAATGAGATGTCATTTGCAGGAACATGGTTGGAGCTGGAGGCTATTATCTTTAGCAAACTAATGCAGGAACAGAAAACCAAATATCACATGTTCTCACTTACAAATGGAATCTAAATAATGAGAACATAAGGACATAAAGAAGGGAGTGACGGACACTGAGGCCTACTTGAAGGTGAAAGGTGGAAGGAGGGAGAGGATCAGAAAAAATAACTGTTGCACACTATGCTTAGTACCTGGGTGATAAAATAATTTGTACACCAAACCTCTGTGAAATGAATTTGCCTATATAACAAACCTTCCTATGTATCTCTGAACCTAAAATAAAAGTTAGAAAAACTGAAAAAAATGTGCTCGCTTCGGCAGGATGTATACTAAAATTGGAACGATACAGAGAAGATTAGTATGGCCCCTGTGCAAGGATAACATGCAAATTCATGAAGTGTTCTATACTTTTAAAAAAAAGAAAAACTTAAAAAATATATACCTGTCTGCCAATCTTTTTCAAAATGGTATATTTTTTCTCTTTTGCATTTTCCTGGCTGACTTGGAAATATTAATTGTGTGGGAGATGAATCCTGAGAAGGTCTCATTTTATACATCATTTTACATTCATTCTTTCATTACTTTAAGAAGCATTTATTGAACATTAACTGTATTCCAGCAATATGAAGATACTCTGGAGCAGCTCTTATGTATATTCTGCTCTACTATTTAGTGGCTTCGTGACTACTCTGTATATGCATATTGATATATTTTTAGTTGTCATATAAAAACACATGTATAATAATGATTATAGTTTCTACAGATTATTAAATTTGATTTGCAAATTAAGCACAATATTTTCATGGAAGATTTTTAGGGAAGCAGATACGTGTTTTAGTGTTTTCAACTGCAGAATAGCTAATATCATCTGGTGAGACATGGAACAAAACTGATTAGCATCTTGTAAAATATCAGAAAAATGATCATAGTGAGAAAAAAAAGCATAAAGAAACAAAAGAGATTAGCCCATCTTCTTTATATTTCTGCTTTGTTGTAAAGCACTTTATTAATTTATGTTGATATGAAAATAAAACTGATATGTTCTCAGTTTAGCAACTAAATTGATCTTGAGTTTTGCTTTGTAGGTGGATTGGACTCTAAATATTGGAGAGCAAGCCCTTGATATATGTATTGTCTCTTTCAATCAGTCAGCATCTTCTGTTTTTGTTCTTGGTGAGAGAAACTTTTTTTGTCTTAAGGATAATGGACAAATTCGATTCATGAAGAAGCTTGATTGGAGCCCAAGTTGTTTTCTGCCATATTGCTCAGGTGTGTAGAAAGATTTTCTTTCATCTCTTCCATATGAAAAGGTTATGTGATATACACCAGAAAAAGCTACACTCATACACATATTTTAAACATATATGAAAATAGTTTAATACTGAGTATGTAATGGAAATTTTAACTTTCAGAGTTTGAATAGAAGTTTGATATAAAGCACACATTTGGTTTTGCCAGTCATTTTACTTTGTACAAAATGACTTGTAAAATTGGCCTCTGGCATACATTAATAATGTGGCTGTTCAAGATGCATTAAAGAGAACATCAGACTCTTTTTTAAGCACAATTGTAATGTCTAATAGAATGAATTATCTGTAGTGAATGCCTAGTAAATCATTAGCTTCAATGTGTTACATATTAATGAAATTCATGCTGTCTAGATGAAATGCAAAAGTGTTGGCGATTATCTAGTTATAGCATCCAAGACTGTAAAATGATTCCTTTCTTTTTTATACTGGTAGATTAAAGTTACAAAAAAAGTCTTATTACTTAAAATCTTTATGTATTAAAATCAAGATGTTAGAATTAGTTTGTGTTATAAATTTCCTAGCAGAGACATGCTGTTCCAAATGACTGTTTTCTTAGTGTCTCTTTTCTGTATTTTCAACCTACAGTCTCTGAAGGGACAATAAATACTTTGATTGGAAACCATAATAACATGTTGCATATTTTTCAAGATGTGACACTGAAGTGGGCCACCCAACTTCCCCACATTCCTGTAGCAGTAAGAGTGGGCTGTTTGCAGTAAGTGATTTAATTTAACATTGTTTTTAAAGAGGATGTTAGTCAAGAAATTTTCCAGAAGTTCTATGAAATAGCGGCAAGTGATTTTATTAAATAATTGCAAGTGACATTGTAGTGTGAATGTCAATAATAAGTAACTTAAAATATAACTTTTATTGGAAAGAAAGGATAATTAGTGATATTAATCATTTTCATTTAATATTTCTAGCGAGATATCCTTAGTAAATTAAAGGTGACAGCTGATGATGATATCAAGAAAATGATTTACTTGATAGATTATTCTTCAAAAAGATTTCTTTTAACATTCGATGGGTCCCATTTACAGATCATTTATTGATAGACTGTGACAATATTATACTGTTCATCATAATAAGGGTCTCACCTTGTTTCAGACCTTGTTATGTCAAGTGATGCAGAATTGCTAATGATCATGTGTTTACACAGTTTAGATTTTAAGTGGGTGCTACTTTACATTTAAAATGAAAAACAATTCATACTTTAACATTAAATTTCCAAATTTATCAAAAATGACAGAAATGAACCATCTAAGTGAGTAATTTTTCTGGGTCATCAATATAAAAATTGAGATGCTGACAAACTTTTTAGCATCTCAGATTATGTTTAGGAATTGAAAATATCAGCAAACATATAAAGCTTCATAGATTCTCAGATGTATTCAGTTCTACTTATTTAGAATATTTTATTGAACAGTTAAAGGCATATTTAGAATTCTTCAGTGACACCTATAGTATCTGATCAGGATGGGGTTGTCCTCTCCTATTAAGGGGTTGAGTATAATATTATTGTTGAAGATCAGTGAAGGGTATTCATATTTGCATCAATGTTTAATCTAAAGCCTGAACTTTGGAAGATGGAAACAGTGTTTTGAAAACATTGAATATTTTAAAAAGATGTTGCTTTCTTATTTATGAGAAAAAAATCATATAATTTAATTGCTGTGCCCTTAACACAGTTATAGTTATTTTGTATCTGGAAAATAATTTTAAAATTTTGAGATCGAGTTTTGCAATGTCCATCACATGGTCTTTTTAAGTTTCACAGAATATTCATACCCACCAGACATTTTGTATCAGATTTACTTATAAGGATTTAGAACAGGAAAAACATGTTGTCAGCAGGTCAACATCAAATTTATCTTTTATGGAAGAGTAATTCTTGAAAGAGTCTATATATCCATCCAAGAGCTGTTATCTTTGGCCCCCTAAGTGACAATTCAGTTGCTAAAAGACGGATCCACACTGGTGGTGATGAGGCTCATTTTGACCTAAAATCTTCATGCCCTTCAGGAGCCAATATCTTTAAATACTTAAACATTATTGGGGTTTTGGTGTACATTTTGAGCACAGGAGAATGATGGGTAGAAAGATTTTATTGAGAACATTTAGTTGAAATATATATATTTTTACACGTACATTAGGTACAAGGGATGTACGCATTTCAAGAGTCACCCATACTCAGGGAAGTGCAAAGATATGGCTTCTCAGCAGATATTTATTGTTAATGTATAGTTTTTGGTCTAGACGTAACTTACAAGTTAAGGGTCAATAATAACTGAAATATTATGAGCAAAAAACCAAATTTTCATATAGTGTACATAGTGATGCTTATGTTCAAAAGTAGCCTATCATCTTATTTGAGGTACTTGTGAGCGAATCTTCCTATTTCTCGTAGGTTTTGCAAGATGATAGTTATAAACAATTAAATCCAAATATTGCCATTAGTATTTTGCACAATCAATATATAACAATAAATTCTAATTGTTCAACTGTAGATTTTTCTTATTCTTAAACATAATTTAACACAAAAGATAGCGTTAGACTGTGTTTTCATTGTAATTTCTACTAGGGTTTTTTTTCTTCTGCAATAACCTTTAATTAATGCATGCAAAAGAAAGACTTTAAAACACTAGACTCAATTAACATAAAGTTTAGGAAGGCTTTCTGCTCTCTCTACAATTGTAAGCTGTATGCTACAGCTATTTAAATACATTTTATAATAGTCACATCTTAAATCTTATTACTTATCTAGACTGAAGCAGTAAATGGACAATTTCAAAAATGATTATAAGCACAGAACACCACAATTATATTTTAATCACATGTAAAAAAGGCCATGGACTATGGGGAGAGCACTCAGCTCTTAGCTTACACTGTGGTTTAGGTTATTAACCACAAAAGATAAGGGAGCTTCCAGTTTTGCTCTTTTGCTCTCAGATCATTTACATGAGGGAAGTTGAAATAGTAGCTAGTGTTACAGATACCCTACACAATGCAAAGCTAGTGAACACCAATATTTAGTCATCCGATAAACAAAGAAAAAATAAAAAAAACCAGCATAAACTGGCAAGAGCAACTGCAGCCAACTTCAGGCTAATGCCACATCTTTTCTCAAGGCTCTATCCTGGATAGCATGTGAAATAAAAGCCCTGCTTTGGTCCTGATCAACAACAGCCTTCCTGTAGGAAGATACTTCCTTGCCACGTGAGCACTGGTGGGCTGGCTTCTCACCTTTGCAAACAGTCCATAAGGTGTGGTGGTTCCCAACGTGTGGCTTTCCCCATTCACCATACTGCCTTCACGGGCCACAAGATGGCGGAAGAGCAGATCTAAGCCAGTGTCCCAGAAGGGGTCTATCGTGGTGGAAACTCCATGGCAGACTTGGCAGGTGATGTTCAACTGCAGCCCACCTGTGAAGATCCATTCTGTGAATGTAGATGCAGTAGTTGTGGTGTTGTCCTTCTTCCCATTGTCATCACCTGAGGACAGACTATGACTCTGGGATTAGTGTCTGTGAGCCACAAAGATAGCAAATCTCCAAGGGATGAGTATGTTTATCCTGCAGAGGCCTGAGGAAGCCAGTGCTGACACTTTAGAAGGCCATGTGAGTGTGCTCATCATTTCAGTAGAGGGTCTCATTGTTACTTTAATGTGATGAGAAATCACAGCACTTGGATTTTCAATGCTCCTCTTTTTCTCATTTCTTAAGAATTCTTAGAGCCCCACATTTTTGATCTTGCCAACAAAGCACATCTAGTGCCCAATGGCTGCGTAGGTAATTGGTTCCCTTTTTTATATGAAGGACAATTGAATAAATATTTTTCTGGAGACAGCTGAACATATCGTGGGCCAGATACTGTAACCCTTGACAGGTTCTTTCTGCCTGTTGCACAAACCAAATCAATTGATGGTATTTCAGTAGAGAAAGAGTTTAATTGATGCAAGGCCAGCCACACCACACTGAAGATGGACTTCTAACTTAAATCATTCTCCTTGAAGGCTCATAGATTAAGGGTTTTTCAAAAGTTGTTTGAGGGAAGAGTTAGGGGTGGCTAGGCAATGGGTGCTTGCTGGTGATTGTTTGGAAGGT